TTCTCCTCTCCCTTTCCCTCCTCTCTTCTTCATTGAAATTCTCCATTTTTCCACACACTTAAACGATGCATACAAAATATTCTCTCTATTTATTTTTCCTCTTTCACACTTATTCGGTAACTGTATATTGATCATAGAATGGTGTTGAGTTCCATTAACATTCCAGCTGTTGTTTTTCTGAAGGAGCTATCCGGTCTTCTACGCAAGTATTATGATCTGCGTGTGACAATTATCACTAGTGCACGAGTCCCATTGGTTAAGCTTTACTCTGAAGGCATCGCAGTGGACATTGTTTTTGCATCGACAGCCCTGCCGACACCCCCCACAACGGAGCAGCTACTATGCGATAATTTTTTACTCTACGTTTCTATAGAGAGCAGGCCAAGCGTCAACGGCATCCGTACGGTACTGGAGATCAAGCAAAGTCTCCCGGTCGACTATGATGTTTATGTTACAACACTGAAGGCAGTTAAGCGGTGGGCGATGAAGCGTCTCGTGTATGGCAACTTATTCACCTTCCCGAACGGCGTCACTCTAGCGATAATGGTTTGCTATATTTGTCAAACGTTTCCACACAATTCACCTAGTTTTCTTTTTAGGTACTTTTTTAGCTACTTTGCAGAATTCTTGCCCTCTCATGTATTTCCTTCTATACCTATATTTATCACACTATCTCTTCAACAAAAAAAGATCCGAATTGACGGCATACCTCGTTGCTGGAGTTCCAACCGTGCTTCATGCAAGGAGGAGATATTCCCGGTTCTCAACCCTGCCTACCCGTATGTGAATGCCGCTCATTCGGTTGGTCGATGTGGTCTTCAGTACTTCTACGATGAAATTGTCCGAGCCCAACAACTCCTTTTCCTACATCCCAAACGTATCCCTATGGACCAGATTTGGGAGCCTTACAGTATATGCAAAAACTTTAGGCAGTTTGTTGCCATACATGTTAGTTGTATTGCGATGGTCGAAGAGGACTGTGAAAGTGCGCTCAACATTTGGAAAGGGCTAATAGAAAGCAAACTGCGTTTTTTCGTGTATGCCATAGAGCGCACAGTGGATGTGCGGCCCTTTCCAAAAGTATTTTCATCGAGCTCAAAGCTTGACGACAGCCAAAATGGAGCTCATCTCAGAAAATGTGTGTATTTTTTTGCCGTGAAGCCGCGTGAGAGTGTCGAAAGCAGCAAATTACATTCTCTATCTTTAGTGTCACATGATTTCGTAGCTAGTTGTTTTGCTGAGCTGATTTTTGCAGTTCGTGAGGGTATTAATCCTTCACCTGGTGGACAGCTTCCATATCAGCCACAGATTATGGTGGATCCATCCTTTTCACTTCATTGTGTATCCGACGACAACTTCGTAAATGAGTTTGGGGATCATTTGAAGTGAAGAAGTCGCACTTCCCTTCCATTGGATTGATTTGTTCTAAATACTATAAACCCGAGAGGAAAAAAACCATACCCGAGAAGAATGCAACCAGTTGAGTTTTCAGAGGACGCGTTTACTGTGAGATGTTTGATTTTGGCGAGCTTGTTTATGCAACTCGATTCCCTATTTGCTTCTCTAACTCTACTCTATATTTTCTAAAAGTTTGATGCCTGAGAGTCACACAGCGCGTGCGCTGCGATTCATATTTCTTAAGTAATGACCTTCATTTAAGAAGACCAGGTATCTGAAAAAGGCATTTATTCGCTGGATACGTGACAAAATTCACCACTTGGCGTAGTGTTGAAGTTTAGCACTTCCTCTCTTCTCTTCTGATCGACCAATAGTGAATAAAGTGGGCGCAATATTCTTTGCGTGTCTTCAACTGTACGGCGGTGGTCACTGCAGGCAGGTCCGATGGAAGCATTTAGCACACCACCTGTGCATGGGCCGGCAGTATTAGTAGCTGCCCTATGCCTCCATCTCACGAGTTCACATTCCTTATCTGTAGGATTAGAGTGGACGGTCTCCTCCCCTACAACACCAGAAGCGCGTTTCAGAGTGTGTGTCTGCCCGAATGAATATGTCGAGATCTTTCCGTCTTTTTATGCGACCATTGTACCATTCTTTGGCACACTTTATAGTGAAAGGGACTTTGCTTGGAATCTTTTTGAGAAGTGAGTCCTCGTGTGGTGGGATTTTAATGTCTTTCAGAAAGGCAAAAGAAGTTCTATACGGTTGTCGCAGATTTTTGGAGCAGGTTCTTTGTGACATTTCAAGGGATAAATCTATGACAAATAGAAGTTGAGAATGAGAAGAGATCAGAGAAACAGATCAATAACCGATGCGCGGTGTCTTTTTCTTTTTCTTTTTCTCAAAAGTAGTATTCTGATTTTCCTTTGACTCCTCTTTTTGTCTCATTTGGATTCGTTTAGACGTAGGGATCACTTACATTTCGTTTGCTTATTCAGTAGGAAAAACCCCAAGGCTCGGGAAACGTTCAAGATGAAGGAAGATAAAGCAATCGCATCACCTGAAATGCGTCTTTCAAAGAAGTCACGAAAAACGATTTTTAAGACACGTCTCCGGTGGTCTCTGCTCTTTGGGATTATTGCTGTGCTTTTTATAGTTCTTTGTTTATGCTACTATGACAATTGGAGCTGGTTCCCCTTTCCGACATCAATGCTTCGTCGTAATCAAAGATAGAATATGTTTGTTCGCGCCACAGACCCTCGGGCGGTTATATTCGTTATGAGCAATAAATAGATAATGCCCTTTGCTATTCTGTAGGCTCGTGCTATCTGAGCGGTCTGCCTGTGGTGGTGGCCGGCTATCAGATGCCGTATCGCGTGTTTCTGTCCAAGTTCGACTTCATGGAAGCGGCCATTGAGAATGCGGAGCTGAAGCCAGAAGACGTGATCATTGTAACGGATTCAGACACAATCTTCACTGGTGTGGATCTTAATCCGTTCCTGGATCGCTTCATTGCGCAGTCCGCTGCGACACCCGAGGAGCTGGACGCGTTGGCTGTGCGGCAGGGCCGTGCGATGGCACCGGTTCTATTTAGTGGGGATCCGGGCTGTTGGGCATCGAACATTTTCGAATCCGCAACTAAGTGCAGACGACACTTTGGTGGTCTTCGGAAGAGGATTCGCCGTTACGCCGCTGCACATCCCGAGCATGAGATCGCGTTATCTTTTGACTCGACACTACAACGTTACGTGAACTCAGGCACCATGATTGCCCGTGTGTGGGCGTACAAGGAGTTCCTACAGCAGAAGAACGAATTAACCAAAACACAAATTCCACCATTTAGTGTTGAAAAAGGGTGGGACTGTGATCAGTCCGTCTATACAGCGCTCTTTCTGGATCTCATCACGTGGGAAGTCGAGCAGGACGTTTTGTCGATGCCAGTTCTCAAGCAGCAAGTGGCTCGGTCTCCTTACGGTGGGCGTGCAGGATTTTATGAAATTGACTACAGTAATATGCTTGCAGGTGTTTAAGATACACGATGAGCGCTGGGTGGAGAACCTGCCACCGGACGGGTCTAGTCACCCGCATTCACACATCGTAAGCAATCTTGAGAGTATAGCACGTTTTGTTGCTGATCTCTGCAGGCGCGCCTACGCCACTGGCGGTGAGGGAATTTACACGAAGCTGGCGGTGATCAAGTGGGTCGGAGGGAAAAGGGTTTCCGGGAAGGCTCACATCACCTTCACACCCCCACTCGTGGCGATGAACTCGAGGCGTGTAGAAATAACTAACGATGAGGTCCGTCATACATTTCCAGTGATTTTCCATGCAGCAGGCCGAGAGAAAGGCCTCACAAAACTGGGTAAGATGACATATGGCGTAGTCGGTGCGCGGTGGTTCGTACCGATGACCCACAGCTCAGAGGCAAAGCGTCAGGTCATGGAGTACCTGGCATCTGTGCCGCAGTTTTTGTCAACGAATAACTCGATCATTCGGGATTCCTACCACTCTAAATGTGGCTTCCCATTCGAAAGTACGATCGAAACGGTGAAGGACCTCTGATGCGAATTGCTTATCTCACGATCTATATATACTAGGGCACTCCCCTCCTTTGATGAGCTGATTAGTCACTTGAGATTTGCTCTTTGGGGCAGAGTGTCGTGCAGTCTGCGCGGTACGAAATGGCCTTTGGACTAGAGATTTTGGAGGAAATACGCATGATGTGGGAGAGGCTCTAGGTCACTTTTCCTCTGTTTGTGTATAAATAGATAATTCTGCACCAGCGTCAACATGTAGATCTTTTCTTCCCTTTTCCGTCTTGCGTCTTTCATTACTCTCTATGAAGGGTTGTATTTGCCATAGGGTTTCATCTCTATCACCAAATGCAACTATAAGTTATTTTATTCATAAAATGTGGCATCATATAGTTATTTCAGATGAGAATTCACGCATTAGTAAATATGGAATATTATTGTGGTTAAAATAGAGTTCACATTAGTTTATTTTCCGAATTTCTTAACGATAGCTCCAAAGTGCTTATTAAAATCGTTAATACTATTAAGGTAATCATTTATTGTTTTGAGTCGACATAAAAGCTCTGAGGAAGACGTGTGCCAATACATGTGGAAAGCGTTCTTCTCTAGTATTCTCTTCTTTATGTATCGTTGGACGCTAGCGTGATGATTATTATTAGCGAGTGAAGAATATTTAATCCTTTTTTTTACAACGCATCATTGCACTCCACAAACGTTTTCCTTAGTTTTGTCGTTCGTTTTTTTGTTGATTTTGATTAAAAAAAGTGTTTTAACGAATTAGTCTTTCGATTTTTTGTCTTTTTAATGCCAATGCCTAACATTTCCTAAGGTTCTAAATGCATTGAACCCACGTTGCATGCAATGGTGTATGATAGGCTAGAAAGGAGAATATAAAGCCTAGTAACACCTTGCAGGTGCAACATTCCTTAGAGTTTGATTTTTTTTTTTTGCATCAATGTGAGTTTCTTCTCCAGATGATTAATCATTTCGACAAGCAAGCATGAATTTGATAACCCTATTGGGCTGTTCCAATACAACCCGAAGACTACATCGAGCACTTATTTGTGTTTTTCTTAATATCTCAACGTTCTTCCTCTTCTTCTGGTTTGCTATTTTGTGGCCTAGGAACGAAGGTTTCCTTAGAATTCGAAATAGTCTCCGCCAGATGACGGATGTGTGTGCGCTTCATCTGTCTTCTAGTTGCTGCAACATAGCGAATCTGGTATGCGCCGTGTAGACAAAAGGGAAGGGAGATAAGCACAGGGGTGTATCCCCTGACCAGTGGTACCTTGTATGGCTGATGTCGCTGCCTCTCCCGATCCCCTCGTCTGGCGCGTATGGAGGGCGGTTCCTATGCTCTGCATCTGATAGGTGAGCTGGGGCCCTACCAGGTGAGCCCCTCTGATGCGTTCTCGTGTTGGGAATGGTTGGGAATGGGTTAGAGTTAGAACTTCAATGGTATCCTCTAAAATGGATTTCATCTGTACACGCTTGAGGACTTTTAGGAGATGAAAACTTATGGGGGCTTGCTCCACGACCTGTGCATGCTAGAGCCGTAAATATCTGGAGACAATGATGAAGAGAACTGTGCTTCTACAGTCAGTTTTGAAGCAGCATATATTGTGCATACATCACTAGATGCAGCTTGTAGACCAGATGCTAGTGTGACCACCTTGCAATCCACGGTAACTACCTTCACATATCTGACACGCTCAGGGGACACAACGTGATCCTATCCCTCTTCCTTTGTACGACTACCATGTTCCATTCGCCATCCCTGATATGATTTTGGCGGCGCTGTTCGTATTGATCACGGTTAGACAGACCCTTTCTCCGAGTCTTTACTGGGTCCGGTGTCGAGCTTATCCTTTAGGAAATGGATCCTATGTGCTCATGTTGAGTCCTGGCGCTCGCTATTTGTCCGCGTCCTTGAGCTTGTCGAGGACCTGTCAGGCGGCACCGTCAAGGGTGTGCTTTGCTTCTCTGCTGTGCCGATTCAGGTGCCACTCGTGCGGTGGAATTTTGGCATGCTGCTGTACGGGCAACCGTGACGCTCCTTCTTCAAACCATCGCCAACTGCGTGCTTGTTGGTCCGGAGAGGGGCACGGTATCCTTCAGCATCAACGGTGTGACCGTGAACAGGTGGGAAGACGAGATGAGGAACGATCTCGACCCAACCACCTTTCACCTCTCCCTGGAAGGCATGCCCCTGTCCACGAGTTCTTTCAGGGGCATGACCGCGTGTGACGCCAGGTGAGAGGAATCTAATGACTGATGGATTAGGAAGTAACCACGATGTGAATTTGGAAGAAAACAGAAAAATATATATTTGCATCTTCCTTTTTACACATTTGAATTATTTTAGACTCAAGGATAATCCATATTGTTTGAACTTTGTTAAGTGTGTAAGGGTTACCTATTTTGGGGAGTTCACAAAGAAGAAA